GCATTTCCAAAAAAAAGCTTACCACTTTAAGCACTTAAAGAGTCCCCTTGGGCCACTCGTTAGCATTTCCCAAAACAGTTTGCACAAAAAATATATAGCCCAAAACAATCAGATGTGTGCCTATAAGTTGTGCTTCTGAATCCGAATCCCCTAATATCTACAAAGATGTGGTTTCTTACAAACTAGAAGAATGTTCTTCCCATATTGAGAATTTAAGCATCCATGGTACAGATAAAGAATTGCATATCATGCAAATATCTAAAAGAAAAACATTAAATAACAAATTGAGAATTCCTCTCCAATCAATCTCTTTTAATCATGATACTGACTAAAAATTCATGTCCACAAATAAAACGTGTATTCAAGACCTTCTTTACATAAAAGTTCCGCTTAAATTTTGGGTTGGCCCTAACTCAGTCCAATAAAACCAACTTGTAAAGTGAAAAATGTCTTATTTATAAGCATGTTTTCAAGTCATATCTTTCTTCACACATTTCCATCACGCCCAAGTCTAGAGATAATGGAGTGTGAGTGTGACCCAAATGGTCCTCTAACGATGACCAAATGAATCTTGCATTGGCTCTGATATCAACTTAAAATTTGAGTTAGGTCGAACTCAAGCTTACCAACCCAACTAGTAAAGCGGAAGATGCTTATAACTTATAAACACATTTTTATGTCATATCTCATTCAATATGAAACTTAAACAGTCCCATTACCACTTAGTGTGCTTTCCATAGATACAAACGGTGGACTACATATAATTATAGCCAAAACACTATGTATCAACTTTGGAAAAAAAATTAGGGGAAGAGCAAATGCATTGAAATTTGCATAAGATAGAATCTATGAGAAAAGGCAAGTCGTTGAGTAAGAAACAAGATAAACAAACAGAAAAAAAAGAACCAAATTCACCTTGAATTGTCATTCCTAACAGTCCTTGCATTGCCAAAAGCCTCTAAAAGTGGATTTGACTGAAACAAGTAAAAGTGAAATTAGCATCCCATATTGAGCTAAAAATTGAAACTTAGCACTAAGTTGGTGCCTAAACCCATGGTTGCTTGAGTTCAAGAATATCTTACTTCAAGAACTTGTTGTTCAACTGTTCTATCATCACCACAGGCACGGCCACCAACAAAAGTAAGATATTGCATAATCAATTTTGTAGTCTCAGTTTTTCCAGCGCCACTTTCACCGCTTACCAAGATAGATTGGCTTTTACCTTCATTCATCATTGCTCTAAATCATAACCAATAAGGGCTCACTAATACGCAATATAAAACAGCAAACAGAAAATACCAATAAAAAGTATAAATAGCACGCAAATGCATTTAATGCATACTAACCTATAAGATGCGTCGGCAACAGCAAAAACATGTGGGCTAAGCTCACCCAATGGAGCTCCCTTATACTGCTCCATCATATGGTTATTATACAAATGAGGAAGCTTCGTGAAGGGATTAACAGCAATTAAAATGCTCCCTGTATATGTCTGTAGCAAAAACAAAATAAGTCAAGCAAAAGGCAAAAAATGACAGTCCAAATAGAAAACAAAAACTGTTTGTAATTTATACAAGCAGCAGCCACACATTAAAACCACGTGAAGTTCATAAAGTTAAGTAGCCAAGAGGGAAAATTTAAAAGCTACTGCTTATACTTTAATTAATTGATGCGTTTTTTTTACTCAATTAATTGATGCTTTTTGCTTTTTGACTCAATTAATTGTTGCATTTGAAAACTATTCTTCTGTATGAACTTCCCAATCCTTAACCCATACACTCATCCAAATCTTCAGTAACAAACCTCATAAATGAAATGTCGTAAAACAATATCATACAGAAACATACAAACTGTTGCACGATTAACATGGAAACTCGCAAACTAGGATTCTCTACCTTAGAATCATCTACCTTTGGCAATTGTCTCTTTTTCTCAATCAATCATTCTCTCTCATCTAAATAATTTATTTAATACCGAAGTCGCCGAATAGTAAAGGTAGAGAATCAAAACGGTAGTTCACATCGAAAACGCCAGTTTCCAATAATAAAGAGCTACCTTGAAAATTACATACATATACACACCCATACATGAACTCATCTAAATAATTTACTTAATACCAAAGTCGCCAAATAGTAAAGGTAGAGAATTCGAACGATGGTTCCCATCAAAAACACCAGTTTCCAATAATAAAGAGCTACATTGAAAAGTACATACATATATACACCCATACATGAACTCATCTAAATAATCTATTTAATACTAAAGCGCCAAATAGTAAAGGTAGAGAATCCAAATGGTAGTTCTCGTCGAGAACGCCAGTTTCCAATAATAAAGAGCTACATTGAAAATTATATCTATAAAAACCGTAGTTCACATCGAGAACGCCAGTTCCTATAGAGCTACATTGAAAATTATATCTATAAACACTCATACATGAACTAATAGCTAATCTCAATTAACCAATTAGAAATCAATTAATACACACACTCACATATATATCATTGAGCGCATATCTCCTGCGAATATTGTACAACACTCCAGGTTCATTCAAGTAAGTCAACCTCGTCATATCTTCAAATCCTCCAATCTCTTCTTCATCCACATCCCTCTGACACAATTTCTCCGGCGAAGCAAAAACCTACACCACCACACCTCAAAAAAAAACAAAAGTCAAATTCTCAACAATTACAACCAAAACAACAATATGCAACAAATTATCATCCGAATCAAGCATTTCATCAGTAAAACTCACCTTCTTGCCGGAATCAGTTACAAGTTGAACAGAATTACCATCAGAATCAACAACTTCAGCAGCCACCCAAGCCAATTCCTTGTCAGGGACCCATACCATGGATCCCTTGCGCACATTCATGGTTGGTGACAATTGTGAAACGAATTTGAAATTGAAATTGAAACCCTAAACAGATAGATGTAGAGTTGAAGTTTATAGTTCCCGCCCTGACAAGTGTGTTGAAGAGTTGAAATTGATTTGAAAGTAAAAGAAAAATCAGAAATGGCGATGCTGCGGATTATTTATATCAGCAACACGTCACTCTGTGTCTGAGTTCGGTTTTCAACTTTTTCTCTTTTTTCGTGTGATTTTCAAATTTTATTTTCTGCGTTAATGTTTGTTTTTGTACCGTCCGAAATTCAGCAACCGTGGATTATAATTCATAAATGTTCAAAAAAATGAAAGAAAGAATCTGCGGTGTAATTGTCAGCTACCAAAAAATAATAATAATACATCAAAAATAGTTTTTTTAGTATAATAGATATTTTTTTATAAAGATAAACCATCCATAATAGTTTAATATTTCAACATCAAATATCTTTCTACGCAAATTAGCTATCAGGTAAAATTAATGTTTTTGGTTGTGTTTGTTTTTTTCATTTGTTTATTACTAGTGTTTGGATTGGCGTGTATCTTATTGTATTTTTTGAAATAAAATTTATTATGTGATAAAAAAAATATCTTTACCAATTATTTTTAAAAAACATGTATTTCTATGAATGCTTCCAAATATTTTCAAAAACCTAATTAAAAAATTACTTACCCCATTCTTCTTTTTTTCTCGTTGGTGTTTAATATAGAATAAAGGTTTAATTAACTTACAAATCATAAATTATTTGAAAATTTAAAAAATTTTAATCTCTTTTTTAAATTATTTTATCAAAGAAATTTTAGTCATTGATTGATTGATATATATATATATATATATATATATATATATATATATATATATATATATATATATATATATATATATATATATATATATATATATATATATATATATATATATATATATATATATATATATATATATATATATATATATATATATATATATATATATATAAGAAAATATTTTATTAAAGGCAAATACTATACACGAGTTGTGCCAAAATAAAGAATATAGATTACATAATCATCACCACATTCTAACATCAATAATAAATAAAAAGCTAGTACTAAGATTTGCCATATTATATAAACATATGTCGGTGTGTAGGTACTTTTTGTACAGATGTCAAGTTTGACACATACAATACAACACCTCCTCAGCATTTTATAGTAATATTATTTTTGTCATTTTATCATCGAATAGAATTTTATTGTTACTTTGTTTTTCAAATCGGCAAGGAAGAACAAAATTTGAATTCTATAATTAAATGTGGTTTTTAAATTTAATTTTCGGATAAATGTTTTTAAAAGACAATGCACAATTACACAATCAACAAAACATATTTTTGTTAAATATTTTTTATTTGTTCTTGTTGTCCCCACCTAACATTTTGTAATCATTACTTATTTTTGTTCTTGTAGTTTAATTGATAGAATATCATTTCTTAAAGTTGATAAAATGAAATGTTACATATTTGAATTTATACTCCGACAATTGGATTTATGCGCCTTCTAAAGGGTATGTATAGATGGGATCAATCCATATAATTATATAGTTAAATTTATCTAAAAAATTTATCAAAGTGAATTGGATCGAATAATTTGATAGATATGAATTTTAAAATTAAAAAATTATTAAAGACAATTTTATTACGTATTCCTACATTTAAATTCACACTCTTAAAATATAAAAAATTGAACAAAAATATTTTTGTATAAATAATCAACAATTTTTAAAATTAATTTTTTCTCATTTCTTTTCAGCTAGAACGTAAAAATTCCACAGAATTTTTTTGACTTTCAAAAAACTCAGACAAAAAATTTTGAGTTCACGTTTTGTACTCTAGAGAACTTACTAGTAAGTTTTCTGTTTACCTTTTTTATATTTGTTCTCCGGATAACTTGTGTGAAGTTATTTGGTTTGTATTTTCTGCACATCGAATAACTTGTGGTCTAGTTATCTGGTTCTTCTCTTTTCTTCACCGGATAATTTATTCACATGTTATCCGGTTATGTTGTTTGTTGTTCTGAAAAACTTGTCTTGAAGTTTTTCCGTTTAATGTTTTTTTTTATTTCATTTTTTTTAGTGTCTCGCATGCGTGGACGGGATGGATTCATTTATCGACGATATAGTGAGGGACGGTCGACTCGTGAGGAAGATCGGATAGCAGCACTTGTACATATTTCGCCACATCCACCATTTCCTGGAGGACCGTCTGATATGTCACTTTTAGTTAGTTATCAGAACCACGTTGTTCGACATTTGTGGGGCGGCCAAGTAAGTTTGTCTATGACATTTTAGCTTGAATCAAATTTAATGTTAATTATTTATGTATTATAACATATATTATGATTTATTTTCAGGAGAGATCTTCGAAGAAAGAGCTGAAAGTTGTTGCGCATGGCAGCAAGTTTATTGGATGGGTTCCATATAGTCCCCCACCAGTGAATGAGTGATGGTTATATGATTCTGGTCTATCTTTCTACAAAGAACCAGTTTATCGAGGATAGATCGGAATTTGGTATCTGCATTTGTGGAGAGTTGACATCCAGAACAATCGTCATTTCATATGCCATTTGGCGAGATGAGTATTACCTTAGATGATGTTTCTTGTCTACTGCATATATCGTGTAAGGGGAGTTGTGTAACCCTATTGAAGGGTTCGCTGATTAAAGTGTCATTGTGCAGGCTATTGGTCTTCTAGGAGTTCCATTGGAGGACGCTGCTGAAGAGGTTCGTACTGCCAGAGGTCCTTATTATAGCTTGGATTGGTTGAAGCAGCTATTTGTCCGTCAGCGAGATGCGAATATATTTGATTGTGCAGTTAGAGCATACATGTTGTTGTTAGTTGGTTGCACCAATTTTTTATAAGACCTTTACACTTGTATAGGAAAAGTATTTACCATTATTTCAGGACTTATCTAGATGTGGTTGATATTGTCGGGGAGCTTCACTTTTCACACTTTATAGATATCTAGAATATGCTTCCTTTGACACTTGCAAACAACTTGGTGGATATGCCTATTTGCTACAGGTACACATGATTTATTTTAATTTCATTTAAACGTATATTAGTTTATTTATAATACTTTTAATTGATAATATTCATTTTGTGTTACAGTGTTGGATTCATGAATATTTTTCTACTGTTGGCAAGAGAGGATTTTCTAAGATTGCAGGTATTGTTAGTCCACTTCCTAGGGCGATGAAGTGGATGTACAAGTAAGACGCACAGAAGGTTGATGAGCTTAGTCCTATATTGGATGGATTGACACCTGTTGATGTCATTTGGATACCTTTTGAGGATCCCAGACAACATCAACCATTTGATGATATATGTTTGTATAGGGGTGGCCTGAAATGGTATGGTACTGTTGTTCTATATTAATCTGACAGATGTATGCGTCAGTTTGGATACAAGCAGTACATATCACCTCCACCTCTTGATGTTGACACACTTGATATGGATATTGAGTGGGTTACATATCATGCGAGCGTGATGAAAGTGATTCATCCATCCAAGTTTGCATATATGTCGTATGATGTGGTGCCCAATTCCTTGGATTGGTACTATATAGTGTCACATCCTCGTTTGGTACCACCACCTCGGGGGGAGGTCAGACAGGTCCCAGTTGGTGAGGTCAGACAGGCTTTGGTTCCTGCCTATGATGCAGGACCATCAGATCTTAAGTTGTTACATATTTCACATGAGTTTAGTTGTTATCTACAGCGTCACGAGGCAGAAGAGAATGATGATGATTTTGCTGAGGTTTTTCGAGCACTTCGTATAACTCAGGGTGGACCAGTACGTTATGTTAGTGATGATGATTGATGTATTATTTACTATTTAGACTTATGTACTATTTCTCAGATGTATGTCGTATTATTCAGAGTTATATAATATTATTCAAACTTATATGATATTATTTAAGTTGCTGCCAAAATATAACAAGAATCAAATATAACATGAATCAAACTTCGAAAGAAACCAAAATATAAAAATCCAATTCTAACTATAATCTAACATATTTTGACACCACAAGCATAAGTTGCTGCCAATGTTGTAACCGTCCAGCAAATCTTGCCATCCAAAAGTTACATATGATGTGTGATACTTCTTCCAATCCAATGTGACTTGTGGCAAGGGAAATCCTCTGTTCATGTTTACCTATTAATAAAAATTAGTAAGTAATACATAAATGAAAGATAATTAATTAACATAACAAACATGAATGTTTACCTGGACCCAATGATTTTGGTTTACAAAACTAATGCAGTAAATTGACACATTAGGTGAATGTGAAGTCGTCATAGGAAATAAAGTCAGACTAGGATAACCCAAAGAGACTAGAATGACATTATACTGATTTTCTATCACATAACCCATATCGGGTAATGTGTTCCATGTATCTAATGACTAAGTACCTAAAGACGATATCATCAAGGAGTCTCTCACTTTTGGTAAGCGACCTCCAAATAAATTCTCATATAGAGTGATTTTAGAACCTCTAATTTCATTATCCAAATCACGACGAACCATTGACCAACCATCCTCACCGTATCCATGCAATGATGCAATCGATCTATACCCATCGTTTTCGTCACTCTTAACATCAACAATGTCATCAATAAAGGATCTGATATGCTCTGGAAATTATACAATGTACCTATTAGATGGTTTCTTCTTTGACATTTAGTATAACTGTGAACATGGTCTCTTTGAAGATTTTTTAGAACTATTGTATGCTTGATCAACATACTTATGATATGAAGGATCACGATAAACATCATATCCCATAAGTTTCTTCCCTTTTCTTTTCACTCATCCTATGGTCTTTATTTTTTCAGGCAGCGGTACCATCTTTGTTGTAGTGTGGTAAGCAATTTCACACACCTTACTTTTTAATGCTCTATTTCCAGACATATTTAATAACCTGAAACTTTTCCACAGTACATCAATTGCATTGGTCATGTCCACCTCTTATCCATCCTCTGTGTCTACCTTTTGTTCACCTTCCATGCTGAGCTTCCTCCAATGTATATGAATAACATCAATTGGTATTGATTTGCCACTCAATGTGTATCTCCCTAACTCACAAACACAAGGTAACCCATATACTTTTCTATGACTACACCCACACATTAAAGTGTTTGTACTAACCATGTCAACCCTGTGCCACTCTTCAGCAATGTGTCTCAAAGATGCTCTAGATACTTATTCACACAAATTCGCATAAAATGGACTAGTGTGTGCATGCTCAACTACATAAAAACTCTTCTAAGATGAAGTTATAATATTGCTCAATTGTACTTTGATGTTCCCATTCATAGCCTCAAAATATTTGCACATATCACCTAAATTATTCTCGAACATCTGCTTCACGGACTCAACCCTAACAAAAAAAAAGGTTCAATATCATTAATATTAAGATAAACAAACTATGGCAAAAATCAAACAACTTACCTATTAGTTGTGATGTTACCTAAATTCAACACTTTATTGATCCAAGCTTCAACAAATTTATGCATGTGAGGCGTCAATTATGTGTCTATCGCATAATCAAAAAACGGTCTAAAATCCACGCAGGCATGTCAAGCTGTTACAGCTTTTAATGGTATTTCACCTCATCATTAGCCATTACAAGTTCATGCCATATCTTATCTATCGGCTCTCTCATATCATTCACAACATACTTCTTGTATTTCACTTCCACATTCTTGTTGATGTGAAATCGACAAATCATATTAATTATCGTTGAAAATACAGTTTCAGTTGCTTTGATCAAAACAAGATCTTTGTCTGTTAAAATCACTTGTGTCCATCACCCTTGCTTAGTGAACAATTGTTTCAACTTACCTAGTACCCGACACAAATTCTCTGTTTGCCCATATTCATATAGACAAATCCAACAGCAAACGTTAACTCAATTAATGTCATACCAACTACTTCAAACAAAGGTTGTTTGTACTTATTTATTTTGTAAGTATTGTCCATAATTAACATATTAGGAAACATATTCAACAACTTCATTGATCCTAGATGGGCCCAGAAGATATCTCTCACAACTTTTGACTCATCTTTTTTCCTACTCCAATAAACATAATTATATTCCTCTATCAGCTTAAACAACTGTTGCATTTTCATTATATGACCCCTAACGTCTTTCTGAATCTTAGTCTTATGTTTATATATTTGGGTGATTCGAGTCACATTCTCTGAATCTCATTCTTGTAATGACAACAATATGTGTCTTGGTGGAACATGACGTTTTATCAAATCGATAATATGTTGTTGTTCATCAGCATTAAGTCGACTTACAAACGCATGACCTTCAAATCTATCCGGTAAATCGTGGTTGTGAAGTCTACATTTTACGTCAATATTCCAACCAGAACCATCGTTTTAAGGTGTTGACCTAATTTTAAATGAACAACCACATTTCTTGGTAGCACTTTGGGTTTCACTATCTCCTTCTTTGTATTTTTCACCTCTATCACAACCAAATATAACTTTGTCCTTCTTCATCTCTTACTAGTTTTGGCATCTGAACGAGTTATTATAACAGTAACTTTATTCCTGATTCCAACCTCCCTAATCCACCTAGTCTCCTCATCTCACATGTAAAAAAAATTTGTAGTCGAGAATATCTCAGTCGTGTTACACATGTCTGGTTTTTATCGTATATCATTGAAAGGTTGTCCATGCCTAACATAAACGTGACAAAAATTAAATTAAAAAAAGAGTTCTGGATAACTTGGAGTAAAGTTATCCGGAAGTCAAATAACAAAAACCGAAACACTTGTCCATAAGTTATCCAGAATGTTTAAAATACAAACTGAAGAACTTATGAATGTGTTCTCTGAAGTATTATGTGAATCGGATAACGCACGTACAAGTTATTCAGTTTGTTAAATTATACATCCGGATTTTTTCTACGTGTGTTTTCCGATTTGCAAATAATACATTCTGGATTTCTTTACCTAATGTTATTCGGTTGACATCATATACTTCCAAAAAACTATATATATATTTTTAACTAATTTGATTGTACAGTAAAAAGTATTAAAAAAATTAAATTAAAAAGGATAGTTTTGAAATATCTAAAAAAAAATGTAGGGGTATGGGGTATGGGGTAAAAATTTCACTATTAAAAAATTCAGTTTCAAGTAAAATCGGATCCAAATCTAAAAAACTCGCCGACCCATTAATCAAACATTTATTGTTACAATTTAAATAATTTTGACGAGCATTAACTTAGTTGTTGCAATTTTAGTCTCTTAAATATTTATTATTTTAGTGAACCACGACTTTAGCTATTTTTGAATATTTTATTCTTTGGTTATTTTGATGTTAATAAGATTTTATGTCATGCAGCTTTAGTTTGCTGTTAGAATTATATGATAATTTTTTATTAGTTGATGTATCATTTATTATTTTATAATACTAAAAAATAGT